AACAGTTCTCCAAGAAGTCACTTAAAATTTGTTTCCTTGACCTCACCTCCTGTTTACTGTTCAACTCTCTCCATTCTGACTCTTATCTATACTATTATTGGCTCTAAGCAAGGTCAAAAATGTCTGTGTAGCAAAATGCAATAAACACTTCACTATAATCTCACCGTCTCGGCAACATTGGACTCACTTTTCTTCTTTTTTTTTTTTTTTTTTGATTTTTTATTGGGGAATTGGGGGAATGGGAACAGTACTGGGGAATTGGGGGAAGGGGAACAGACAAGTTGCTGTCATTTTGTTCTTCAGTCTAGTTGTGGAGGACGTTGCTTCACTGGCCCAAGTTGGCACCATCATTGCGCTCTTCCTGGGTGAGGCAGATCAGTCGCCAGCTTCTGGACGGCCGCTCACGGCGGCTGCTGGCCGCTCACGCTGGCTGCTGGCTACACACGGTAGTCCATGGCAACCCACTGCCACAGGGACTGCAGCCTACGCCGTCGCCGGCGACTCATGGCAGCCCAGCTCCAGGTTGAGCTGTTGTTCAGCATCTTAGCTGTGGAGGGCAGTGTCACTGGCCCTCAAATGTGGGATCCGAACCGGGGCCCTCTGGCATCCCAAGCCAGCTCTTAACCAACGCGCCACTCGGCCGGCCCTCACTTTTCTTCTTTCTGGTCTACGCACGGTAGTTAAGAGCCTGAGCTTACTAGCTGAGTATTCTTGAGCAAGTTACTTAGACTCCCTGTACCTTAGTTTTCTCAAATACCCTTCATGGGTTGCTGTGAGAATGAAATGAGGTAACATGTGTAAACCACTACACAAACCGCTTTCCTTGGCTTCCATTTTAACGCAATCTTGAGGTTTCCCTCCTACCTTACTACCTATTTTTCTGTCTCCTTTGTTGTCTCATCCTCCCCTCCCAACCTCTAAGTGCTGGAATGTCCCAGGGCCTTTGTTCCAAGATCCTGTTAACTTTCCAACTTCACTGTCTCCTTAATTATTTCTAGTCCCATTGCTTTAAACAGCATATATGTCCTGATGAGCTCCAAATTTCTATCTCCAGCCTTTTTTTGTGGATCGACCTCCACATTTGTCGATCCAAGTGCTGACTGAATAGCTTCAATTTAATGTCCAAATCATGGCTCTCAATTTCCACCCCCAGGAAACTCGTTTCTTCCCAGGATTTCCCGCCTCAGGACATAGCATCACAATTTACCAGGGTGCTCAAGTCAAAACCTTAGGACTCATCCTTCATCTTTTCTTAAAACGCAGATACTCTGTCACAGATACTATCAATACTGTGTCTAAAATCTACCTAAATTCTTCCACTTTGCTTCATCTCCACTACTGCCTCCTGGTCCCAGCCATCTCTTGCTACTATTAATAGCCTTCTATCTCATTTCCTGTTTCCCCTACTTCCCTTCCACAGTCCATCCAGTTTTTAAAATGTAAATCAGATCACATCACTCCTGATTAAAACCCTTTGACGGCTTTCCATTGCTCTTAGAATAATAGCCAAACTCTTCGTCTTATCCCACAAGGCCTTGCATGATCTGGTTCCTGCTTTACTTTCCAAACTCACATCACTCTTGTTCTATGCCAGTCACATCAGCCTCCTCTTTGATCTGAACCCGTTCCCAACTCAAGATCTTTGCAATGTGCCTCTACCAGTAAGTCTCTCCTGCTCTCCATGGCTGGTTTGTTTTTATTCCTCAGGTCTCAGCTCAAAAAACATCCCCAGAGTGGTTCTCCCTAGGCTACTCTATTTCAAGTTGGCCTCTCTCATTTCAACATATTTACTTCCTTCAAAGCACCTCTCACACTGTGTACTAAGTATGTCAGTAATGCTGATTTTCCATAATTCTGTTGTCGATCTAGGTGGAACCATAGGAAACAAAAAAATTCACATGAAACATCTATATGCCAAAATAACTGTAAAGGTCAGTCAAATGAATTAGAAATTGAGACAATATCAAGCAAATATTTTTTTGAAAACTGATTAAATAACTTAAAGTTTTCAACTTCTTAGTCTAGAGGGCTTAGCAGTTAGTACTCAAAATACCCTGTATTATAATACATTATTTTCTGTATAAGGAAAGCAAAATCCCCTTACATAATACTGTAATATCCCACATCTGTATTTCTTCACACCTTCATAAAGCTCTCCAAGTATTAAATAGTCATGCTAATTTCAATCAGTGCTTTCCATTTTATGTATATGTTCATTGTATGTATTTCATTTCTATAATTCTTCTGTTAAAATCTCACATAACCCCTCTGCTGTATGAAATATTTACTGTTGAAGCTTCAGGTATTGGAGTGAATTTGTATCTTCCCAAAAAGAGAGGTAATCAAGTTAAAATGAGATCACTAGGGTGGGCCCTAATCCAATATGACTGATGTTCTTAAAAAAGGGGAAAATTTGAACAGAGACACACACAATTGAAACAGAGAATTTAATGCAGAGAATTAAATACACAGATGACAGAACAGCTGAGAACGACAGGAGACAGGCAGTACAGAACTTAGCAACAGGAAGGCACTAGCACACTTCGGTTGTTAGGACAAAGTAGTAGGGTTACCTGGCAGAAGCAAGACCCAAAGGTGTCACAGACATTGTCAGAAACAACATATGGGGGGGGGGGGGAGGAAGAGGGGGAGGAAGAGGTGGGGAGAGAAATTATGGTGGTTTCTCCTTTCCCATCTCCCAATCTTCCACAAGTGTCTGCACCCAGCTGCTGGAGACCATGAGGTTGGCATATGCAAGGGTCAGCCTCCCAGCAGAACAGACAGAGGACAAAGAGAAGAGCAGAGAAATGAATCTGGGAGCAAATACGCCCAGGACCAGGCACAGGGCAGATTTTTAAAAATTCTGAGTATTAAAAGAATCATTTTGGTTCAAAACAGCAAATGGGAGTTACTAGGAGGGGAGGGTCAATAGTGTCAAATACAGTTTAAAAGTCAAGAAGAAAAAAGAAAGAAAATCACTGGTATTCTTCAGCTGAGTGGCACAACTGAAGCTTAAAGGGAAATGGAAGTAAATGGAGGTGATGAGTAAGCCTGCTACCTTGACCATAAGAAAAAAGTGATTAGACTTGGAAAGACAACAAATTCCAGTAAAGTCCATAAAGGTTTGTTGACCATAAAGGAGACCTTAGTGTATTTGAAGACAAAGGGGAAAGGGCCAGTGCAATGGGTGAGAGGTCACATTCCATTCCACAAAATGGCACTGTGTACTGAAAATCCTGTTATAGTAAAAGATAGCCCTGGTTAAGTAAATAACCGCTTAATTCAAGTAACCAATACAGTCAAACCTCATTTTATTGTGCCTCACTTTATATTGCGCTTCACAGATGTGTTGTTTACAAACTGAAGGCAGGACCCTCTACCAACAAAAAGATTGTAACTCGCTTTATTACAGTGGTCTGAAACTGAACCTGCAATATCTCCAAGGTATGCCTGTACAACTAATTCCTAGAGTTCAATAAAATAAACACCAGAAGTCACATGCTATATAACCTACAACTTCATTTTTCTTATCAGCAACATTTGTGTTTGACTGTAAACTCTTAATAAAGCTATAAATTAAGAAGTTTCTGCACTTGCCTTTTTTTTTTTTTTTTTTTACATAGAGTACCTAATTCACCTGGTCGACACTGGTTGAAACCCAGGTTAACTTAGTTACATTTTTGTGAGTTCCCAAGTTATTCCATGAAACCAATAAATAATAATGACTAGGAACTCATCTTTCCCGGAAACTTACTCCTCCTGACTTTTCCATTATGTCAGTCACTCTGGATGAAATTTGGACTCTTCGTCTTCCCTTGGCTCTGCATCCTCACTCTATATTTGTGAAGTTTTTTGTTTGTTTTCCACAATCTCTTGCATAATGCTGCACCTTCACCTATTGCCAGTATACTAGTTCAAGTTACTTCACATCCTGACAGACAACAGTTTTCTCTCCACTTCAAACCTCCCTGGCCTCTGACTATGACAAAAACAAATATATCTACAATCTCCACTGACTTGGGTCAAATCCAAACTCTTACAACATGACTGGATTTCCAAGTGTATTACCCCAACCAAATGAAAACTCATGCTCTTCAACCACACCCTGAAGTTCTCTACCTACTCCTTAGATTTTGCCAGACCCTAACTCTGCAGCAAACTCCCCTACTTTGATATGTGGGAAATAAACTCTTTCTTTCAAGGCTCTTGTTCCTGTGTTCCCTACACACAACAGCCAGAGGAGAAACACACCTCTGGACACTTCAGCTTTATTCATTTATCAAGCAAGTACAGTCGTCCCTCCATAACCAAGGGTTCCGCATCTGTGGAGTCAACCAACCACTGACAGAAAATATTTGAAAAAAAAAGTTACATTGTTGCAGATGTGGACTATGTAGTAAAGCCTAAAATGCTTAATGCAAACACTATTCCATTTCATATGAGGGGCTTCAGCATCAGGGTCCTGGAACCAATCCCCCGTGGCTACCAAGGGACAACTGTGTAATTGATTATGCGTATTATGAGTAGTATAATAGTATTTGCCCAGAGTAAGTATATCTTAGTACCACATAGTGCCTCACGCCTTGTAAGCCCAATGATGACCTACTGCATGAAAGCAAAATCTCTTGACAATAACGATCGTAGGCATGTTTTAAACAAAAACTCAGAAATAGTATTATGGGACTTTGTTACCATCAGGCAAGGCCAAAACCAATCCTAGGCCTTTCCACCTGCTAAAATATGTGCCCCATAACACACACCGGTAAGCAATTATTATGATTACAGAAGAAATCCCGGAAATGAAGACGCTCTTTGTAACACTACCGAGGCCCTAAGCGTTGTCGGGCACTGGTGGCGTGGGGCAGGCGGCTTTCTGGGCGTGGGACCAGCCGAGGGCCTCTTTTGAGGCCGACACTTAGGGCTCCGCTGCGGGGTCGCAGGCGGGAACCTTCCCAGGCGGGGAACCCGCACGCCGAATCCCGGGTCCCAGCCCCTCTCACCTGCATCTGCCTCCGAAGCAGGGGGCTGCGCCCGCGGGCACCGCTGCGCAAAAGGACCGCCAGCACAGCCATGGTCGCCTAGAGGGCGCGGAGCAGAGACGTCAAGGGCGGAGACTCGGCCTGCAGCGCTGCAAGTTCCCGACTGAGCTCCACCCATCACTAGGTGACCAGGCTCGGCACCCGGATCCATCCTCCTCCAATAGCAGCCTCGGCCCGCCCGGACCCGCAGCTATTGGCCGGCAGCCGAAGGGCGGGCGGAGCTTAACATCCTGATACCGAGTAGCCCGGGTCTGTGACAGGCTGATAAGTAACGCACGTGGTTTGAGGCGCTGGCACAGAAGCCAGCCAACAAACACTTGACAAGCTGTTTGTTCCTGGGCACACCACTTTTGACCTTCCCAAGCCAGTGATTTACTTACTGTAACGTGGGACTTTCCGTTTCACTGAGTGTGTAAAGCACAAAGGAAATTCATGAAAATATTTTTTAGCAACCCAATTAGCTTTTAACTTTTGAGATAGTTTTCCAATTGTATTTCCGTAGAAGAGGAATAGAATACACATTAATAGCTAACTTTACTAAACAATTAATAAGGATTAATCTTCACAAAAAAATTATGAATTACACGCTATTATTATCCACCCCTTAACTAATGAGTTAATGTTGGGGAGAAAGAAACTTTCTCTACCCTCAAGGTTCTCCTGGGTGGCCTAATAATCAAATAGACATGAGACAGATTAGCAGAAGAAAATAACCAAATTTAATACATATATATATGTATGGGAACCCCGCATACATGAGAGTCAGAGCCCCCACATACAGAATAGGTTCAGAGAGAAAGGAAAGTGTATGTATAACATTCTGAGCTAGGGATGAGGTAAGGTGCTTTGGGGTCTTTAAAGGGTCGTTGCAGGATAAGAGCATATGTTTAGTAAATAGAGTTTGTCCTGCCCTACAGGCAGGTCAAAAGAGGTTATCTCTGATAATCTCCCATAGAGAGAGCTAATTCAGGTTCTTCCAGGTACAAGAGAGACGCAGAAGTTTCTCCTGAACCCGGATGACTATCTCTGAACTCCCACAATAACTAAAGTACAAAGAAGTTAACTTTTTGTCCATGATTGCACAGAAAGTGGGAGAGCTGGGGCCTGAACTGATATCATTATATTGCACTGCTTTCCTGTGCTTTTCCCAGAGAATGATGTGCTAGTGATGATCATTTTCACATTTTGGGAACCTATAACTTCACTTTGGAGACAGCAAATCTTTGTGACTTTGTAACATTATTTTCCTTTACATTGTCACATAGAAGATAAAATGAGTGACAGCATACAAAATGAACACTTCAACTCAACTTACTCTAAGCCAAACCCATGTTTTTCCTAAAGTAAAGCACTGCCTTACTTATGTTTTGTTTAACTTATTACATTTTGTTGGCAGCTATGGGAGATTGTATTTTTCAAAATGGCCACAACCTATAGCCCACTCCACAAGCTCTTCTTTCAATATGACTCATACTTCTCCAACCACAGCTGGGGTCGGTGTTCTCTCCCCTTGAATCTGGGTAGGGACTCCTGACTGCCTCCAACAATGGAGTATGGCACAAGTGAGGTTATGTGACTTTGAGGCCAGGTCCAGCCAGAAATATGGATAAAAAGTCCTCAGATGATTCCAGTCCCGAGCCTTCAACCCTTCTGGCTGAGCACTCAGACATCATGGATCAGAGATTAGCCGTCCCTCCTGTGCCTTGTCTGAATTCATGATCCACAAAAAACATGAGAGAAAATAAATGGCTATAATGGTTATTGCTGTTTTAAGCCACTATGTTTTGGGGTATTTTTTTTTACACAGCAATAGAGCACCCCTATCTTTAATGTCCCTGTCACCTCAGGTTGGTTTCTGAAAGCATTATATGATTCCTTCACCTACCAGATCCTCCATACTCAATAGGTCACCAAGTCCTGCCTCCTTCCTTTGAATGTCACACTCATGTCTTCTCCCTTGCTGACTCTACTCTAGGCCAAGCACAAACCTTTTCATACCTATTGCTTCAATAGCTGTTGAAGGGAAATCCTTACAGTGTGTATCAATGCTTAAGCTGTGTGTGTGTGTGTGTGTGTGTGTGTGTGTAATGCACAAAATACATGTTTTTAAAAGTTGAACCACTGTGGCTGGGAGCAGGGCAAGACATGCACGCTGTGTGTGAAGGACTGGTTCCGGCGGATGACGGAGGAGTGCAAACTGCCCCAGCGTTCTCTACACAGGATTCAAATCAGGATGGTACCCAGCATGTCTCTGGCCTTAAGGAGCATCGTACCCAAAATACCTGGTGAGCTTGGAGGAGGGCCTGGAGCCCCCTGGGAGACAAGAGGAGAGGCCACCCTCACGGCAGGTCTACCCCTGGCCCCACCTGGGTGAAACTTCAGAGACTGCACTGTTGTTGTTCCTGGAACCCTTGTCCCCACCCCTGCTCTTTTCTTCCATGTTTGTGGGGTGTGCACGCCGTTTTTACTGAAGTATGAGGTTCTTCCAAATCTTGCTCCAGAAAGATGTCTCAGACACTCCGTTTTGCATGTCCCTGCACAGAGCTTGGGCTGTGCATCCTCCAGGTTGAGAAGCGTGTAGCGATGTAGTGCTTGGACTTAATCAGAACAACTAATAGGAAAATGACTGAAGACAATGATTACAGCAACTCCCAATAGCAACGAACGTGGCTCCAAAGGGAACAGGCTGTGAGCCATACTGCAAGGCAGAAAGGGAGAAATTGTGTGTTACCTTCCTACACTCACATTGCCTAATGTTTTCAGAAGGACCGAGGGGGACTTTGGGTCCTGTGGCCTGTGTTCATTAGGACTAAGAGGGCCGCTATAGGAGAGCAAAGTCCCATGAACCAGCCTGTGTGGTGTGTCAGAGAAGTGACTGTGGTGTGGGCCCCAAAGCAGCTTACGGGCCACTGAGCTGTGCAGCTGAGTTTCCTGACTATAAGTCAGGAGTCGGGCCTTCCTGTTTCCCCATCAGGATAGGACCCCAATGCGCAGGTTTGACAGTGAAATGGAGAAGAGGCACGGGGGCAGGAGGAAGCTGGAGTGTTAGGTGCATACAGGACAGAGGTGGGGGGCGAGGATGGGAAAGGGGGATTGGACCAGCACCCCTTGTTTCCAGGACCACCCCCACTGGTGCATTTTGCTCTGCATCTGCAAACTTAAGCATCCCCCAGCTCAGGGCCTGGACAGCAGTCAGCTCTGATGACAACACTCTACTCAGGAGCCTCTCCTTCTGTGAGCTCTGGCCTTGCCTGGCTGGCCCAGTGGCTGCCTCTGATCTCCCTCATTAGTCCCAGCTCAGTGCCACAGAAGGGGCTTTGGTTTTGTTCTGAAGAGCAGGGGATCCCGAGCGGGCAGGCACATGATCAACTGCCATTGGACAAGACGTCTCAGGCTGCTTGGGCACAGTGGGCTCGGGGTGGGAGAGAGAGAGCCTAAGAGTCAGGAACGGAGTCCCATCGGCGACTTGCCAGCCAATCTGCTGAAAATCATTCACTGGCCCATGATTTTGAGCTGCTTCCTGAATTAAAAATTACCTAATGCAATTTTCTGGTGGACAATCTCTCATAAAGCATGAACTCAGCATAGAAAGCGGTGGGTGGTAGGAGGGAACATTAAAAGGTGTGTGACAGAGACATCCAGGTGGCTCCCAATGACCTCGCCCTCTTCTCTCTCAGGCAACCTGTCACCCGACTTAGAGCTGGGAACGTGGCCACCCAGCACGACAGAATTCCCAGCCTCTTCTGCAGCTAGGCTGGGAGCGTGACCAGGCTCTCCCTCCAGGATGGGAAGGGAAGCAACCTGTACAGCTTCTAGGATGCTTCCTAAGAGAGAGAAGCAGGCCTTAAGAGAGAGAAGCAGGTGCTTCCTTCTGCTTCTCCCTCTGCCCTGCTGCTGGGGACTCGAGCTCTGAGGCTAGAGCTCCATTCTGGCCTGTGTGAATGAGGGCAACTCCCTTATGACGACAGGGCATCAAGGAGAGGAGCTTCCTGGAGCAGCACTGGACTTTCTGTCTCCAGAGTGAGTGAGAGAGAGATGCAAACTTCTGTCTGCCACTCTCACGTGGGAACCTTTGTTAGAGAAACTGAGCCCTTGCTAACTAGGGCAGTAGTCTTGGAGGGGACTTATTATAGGCGGGGACCGTGATCAGGGGAGCTTCATCAGGCACAGCAGGCAGGGGCAGTGTGCCCAGGATGACCTTTATAAGAGCTTCTGAGGGCATGTGAGCTCAGAGAGGGAGATGCCCAAGAGGGTGTCCTAGAGTCTTTCATCTGCGCCTAAACCAGCACTTCACCGAGCATGTGGTGATTTGGGGAAACACATGGGTTTCCTTGGCAGCAATATCCTGGAATCTTTACTTCCTATAATTATTTTCTGGCACTTCAAAAATTAAAACTCTAAATCACTCTGGCTGTAGGGAGGAGAACAGACAGGAAATGGGAAAGAGTAGATGTAGGGAGAAAAATTAGGAAGCCATTTCAGTTTTCCAGGGGTAAAAAAAAGAGTGCTTTAGTCTATGATCATGGCAGTGGGAATGGAAGAAAACAATGAGTTTAAAAGAGGACGGTGTAGGGATGTGCAAAGAGGAGCATAGATGAGTGACTCTGTAGCCCCTCATGGTGGAAGGGATGCAGCAGACTCAGTTTCTCAGGTCTTACCAGTTGCTGGCTCCAGTCTTTTGAGAGTCCAGCTTCTCTAGTCTCTGATTTTTCTTGGGTTTCCTCCATGCCTCTTGGCTTTGTCTCCCCTCTTGCTTTAGAAAAATAGTCACGACTAAGCGAAAGAGAGAACAAATAGGTTAATAAGGTGATAAGCGGCTGAGTGAACTGACAAAGGAGTGACAGAGTGACCAGGGCGATCAATTCATGTCCTGAAATGTTCAAAGAGTGAAGAGAAACAGGACTGAACCAGAAGAAAAAGAAAGGCTCCCCACTGGGCATGCCTCAGAGGGATCCCTCTCTCCCCTCCCAACATCAGGGGTGTCTGTTCTTCCAGGGAGTCAGGACCAATTTCAGCTGCAACAGAGAAAGGGGGGTGGGAAGGAGAAGAAGGTGAAGGATGGATGGGCTCTGTGGAAGCTCTACATCATCCTCTCCTCCCCTCCATGTGGCCTG